GGCCAACACAGACTAGACTTTATACACACAGAACATGAAGTTGAGTGGATAAGGGAGGCGAGGGAGGATCTGCAAGAGTTGAGAAAGGGAATGACTATGATCAAAATATACTGTATAAAATTCTCAAAGAATAAAAATATAAAATAATATCTATTAATACTTCAAAAATTATTTCATATCAACCTATACACATTTTTTACTTTTAAAGTGTCATTTCTGATATGTTTTAATTAGAACGAGAACAGTATATATATTTAAAAAGTGTAAAACAGGAAAATGAAGGACATAAAGATAAAAATAGCTATGGAATAAAGATATTCTTTCTGAATCTAAAATAAGACTTTAATACGCATTTTGAAAAGGCAGTCAATTAAAAAAGATAATGTAATATACTGCTTGTATGTGCCTAGTTTGCACAAGGAGCTGCACTAGGTTTTATAATACACAATGGTTGTACAGGCATTCATTGTTCCTGTCCTCAGTTCAGGCTAGTAGATAAACCACACAATACAGTTAGGACAATAGTCCACCTTTTCTGAAGGTTTGCTTTCAGTGGCTCCAAATAATAAATGTAAAATTTTGGAAATAAATAATTCCTAAGTTTAAAACCATACAATGTTTCAAGGACAAGAAACCTCACCTTCTTACTCTGACCAGATTGAATCAATGCTCTGTCTAGAATTTCCATGCTGCACTAGCCAGCACCCTACCCCCAACCTCAAAGTAATTCTTTTATTCAAATAATTGTTATACAACATAATAGCTCCAAATTTCAGTAAGTAGTGGGATAGAGGTATACACCATAGTGATGGCTATAAATGTTGTCAAAGAACAGTTCTGAGTACAAACACAGCATATTTTTAACCAACAGGGCAAAACCCATCAGAGACCACTAATACAAACTGGCCATTTTCCTTCAGACAGGGTCTCATGTAGCCTAGGCTGGACTCTAACTCACTCTGTGACTGAAGATGATCTTCAACTCCTGATCCTCTTGACTTTGCCTTCCATGCAGGGATCATAGGTGGGTCACCACTAATTCCACCCCAGCTTTGACAAGAAATTTAAAAACATTAAGTCGGAACAAGGTCAGACTTTTTCAAAACAGAGGATATAAGAATTCTCAGAGAATTAAAGTGATATTTTTTGTACTCAGGAGGAAACAAACAAACAAACAAAACCTACAAATGAACAAACAAAAAAAATTCAAAGGAACACCTGTGAAAGATATGAAAAACAGAACAGAGTAATTCCTAGTAGATACTTTAAGACTAGTACATACATAAACATTTACTTCTACGATAGTTACATTAATTTCAAGAAAGAAATGCAAGAGGATTGGTTTTGGCTAATAGATAGAAACAGAAGAGGAAATCAGATTCTAGCAATGAAAGATGCAGGACAGAGAAATTAAGGAAATGTCAGGTTTCTGTATGGGCAACCAGAATGACAATTGTGAATTTACTTGGAGATGCCAAGTTTGAGTGCCTTTCAGACAATGAAGGGTGACAGCAACTAAACAGACAAATAAGCCCAACCTCTAAGAATACTGTTTTATATACAATTTTGGAACCATGTACAGAAGCACACAGAGCTGTAAAGAGTGAGTGGTGCAGTATGAGAAGAAAAACCAAAAGTCCAAGATGCCTTCATTTACAGAGGAGTAAAAGGAGGGTGTGGAGGAGGAGCAGCAGCTGAAAAGGAAACAGCAGAAGTAGGTGATACACAGTGCTGTGTCACAGTAACCAGGGCCCAACCTATTAAAAGAAAAGTGCAGCCAGCTGTGACAAATGCTGCTAAAAAGTAACAAAAAGGAGGATTTGTAGGGCTCTCTGTATTCAGAGATGTATAGCTCTTCCCTCCATGGTGATCCCAGTAAAGAAAAAATAGATCAAAAACTGAGGTAGAAACTTTACTGGGATGTATTTAAAGAGTAAATATAAAAGAGAGAGAGCAATTGTCTACATTTGCTAATGAGACACTTAGCTAATTTACCTGAGAGGCACATTAAGAACCCTGGGAGATGGTGGTCCATCAGAAAAACCTAGTTTAATTTTATTCTGAGCATGAGTGGCTTGAACATGCCCAACACTGATGAGATCATTTAAAAACTTAAGGGTACTGGCCAGTTAGTACGGTTTATGGTCCCTAATACAAACAAAACAAAAACAAGAAAAACAAAACAAAACAAAAAAACTGGCCTATAACAGAAGTAAATTCCTTCCAGGTGGGAAAAAAGAAAAGAAGTGCACACTGTACTATCAGGTCCTACCTGATACTTCATTTTCTGAGGGAGACACCAAAGTCTTTTACTAGGAAGGAAGCCAGAGGGTGGACTAGAAGAATGGAGAACAGCCAGGAGAACACTTTCACCATACAAAAGGAGTCTAAAACTTGGACAATGAAGAGGGCTACCAGGAGGCCTGTGACAGTGCACAAATCCTGGCTGACACTGCCCCATCTAGTATGTTTCCTCCAGCAGAGCACAGGTAAGTGTAGGATAAGTCACCAGATCTATCCAGCATTGTGCCACCTACCATATGGCTTGGCAAAAAATTAAAGGATTAGAAGAAATATTTATACTAGCTAATTTTTGCTGAGTTCATTACTATGGCCATGCTTTATATAAATGGTTCATATAAGCCTAATCACTACCCAACTGGTACCTTATTCATTTTAGAAAACACGTGACAGGAATTAATACACTGTTTGACATGGTCATGTAAGAAGCAGAGCCATATACAAACCTTGAGATTTTACTAATTTGAAAACAGAAATGAAGCAACTTTTAAAAATGAGTACACATAATTTAAAGATAGTTCATTAATAGATAATGAATGATAAAATTCCACCTCCAAGTGGCTTTATAACCGTTAGCCACTGGTACTGAATTTAAAGGTTCACTCCTGTTAAAACTGCAAAGAGAAAAGAGTAGCAAGCTTCCCTCACACTTGTGTCAGACATTTTGTTTTTATGTGCTATCTCATTTATCCTAAACACAAGGTGGATCCATAACCTCACAAAGAAAACAACACTAAGAAAGTGGTTACTTTGGTAGATCTCTTATTTCATCCTAGAAAAATACAGTGACTCTCCCTCACCCTTTTGCCACGAAGCCCTCACAAAATTAGAGGTAAAGGCTTGCTTGAAAAAATTCTAGTTGCTTGTTCTCACTGGAAATACTTTCCGAACATTGCTTTCTTCTATTAAATGAAGGAAACTAGGACAAGCCTTTGTTGTCACATTGCAGCTAAAGAACTGAAAATAAAACCCTTGAAGGGACTAAAGAGTTGAACTAAAATCCCTATGTGCAATTTTCTAACAACACTGACAGCAAGGGCTGGAGAGAGAGCTCACTGGTTAAGAGCACTGGCTGCTCTTCAGGACCTAGGCTCAATTCCCAGCACCCACACTGTGATTTTCAACTATATAACTCCTGCTCACAGAATTCAGTGCTCTTTCTCTGGCTTCCACAGGTACTGCACATACATGATATATAAACACACATGAAGGCAAAACACTCATGCATATAAGCAAAGAATAAAAAAAAAAACAGGAATAACAGGTTATCAGAACTTACTAATTCTGCAGTGATTCATCCTATAAACTTGCCAGTATTTTTTAACTGAGAGTAAAATCTGAGGCTAGGTGCATGCCTTTAAATTGAGTACTGAAGCAGACTCTGAGGTCAGCCTGGTCTACAGAATGAGTTCCAAGACAGCCAAGACTACAAAGAGAAGCCCTGCCTCAGAACTAAATATAAACAAGCAAACCAAAAAATGAAGGGGGGGGGGAGCGTGACGGCAAGAGAGTAAAACCCAAGGTTTCTCAAGCCATCTCACTAAACATTATTTTTTTTCTTGACTGACCAAAACTGAAAAACACCAATAAAGTGAATCTGGTTATATTTATGTATCTAATGAAGCTCATATCCTAAAACAAGAACAACTGTAGCAATACACTGCCCATAATTTACAAAAGAGATGGATGGCAGGCTATGAAGACTATAACTAAGAGAAATTGTATTAATAAGGCATCTTTGTTGCTGAAAATATTTATAATTAGGTTTCATACACGTAGAACATTCAGCTTTTAACTCATGCTGAAATTTAACTACCTTTATTTACCTCAAGGAAGAGATATTAAATAAAGCCTTTTAATACCTTTTATTTTGAAGCACAAGTATTAAATATTTTGGTTTATTTTTTCTTTTCTTCCTTTCATATGCATGCTGCCACCTTTGTATGCAGGTGCATGTAGCTGTCCAATTCTTCCTCCTCATTCTTCTGGAGACAGAGTCTCTCAACCAAACCCAGAATTTGCCAATATAGGCAGTATAGCTACTCTAGCTAGCCAGGATTTCTCTGGGGACCCTTAACTCCATCTTTCAAGGCTAGATATACAGATGAGTCACTGTATCTATTCAGCACTAGTATGTGTTCTGGGGATCCAAACCCCAGCCATATTACTTGCTTGGCAAGTGTTTAACCACTAAGCTGCCTCATCTCTCCAGCCGAATAAAACAATTTTTAAAGTCATGCCTTTTCAGTGTTTTACTCTGATATTAAATGAATGTGAATGATTAACACTTCATTTACATAGGCTGAGGGTGGCCTTTACAAAAGAAATATTTTTACTTAAGAAACAAAACCTGGGCCTGGAGAGATAGCTTAGTTATAAAGAGCACTTGTTCTGGCAGATGACCTGAGTTCAGTTCATATTACCCACATGATGACACACAACTACCTGTAACTCTAGTTCCTGAGGTGACAACGTCCTCTGACCTCTAAGGTCACTGCAGCAAGTGCTGCACATACATGCGTGTAGGCAAAATACTCATACATAAAAACAGTCTTTAAAAAAAAAAAAAGAAACAAAAACAAAAATCACCTTCTACAAAGATGTAGCCAGTATCCAATTATAACTGACAGAAAGACACTATTGTGGTATGTCTTTTTTTTTTTTTTTTAGAGAAAGAGAGTAAGAAAAGCTGCACTTACCATATACATTAGTATGTCTCTAATCATCACCATGGCTGTTTGATGATCATTCCAAGCTTGATTTAATGTTTGAAGAAAGTTGTTATTCAATGAATTTAGTACATCTTCTCGCACCTATTAACAGAACAATTCATTAGTTTATGCATACAAGCACTCAAATATATATATATGTATATATGTGTGTATTATTTTTTTCAATAAAGTAATCAAATAGAATCCTTAGCTTCAAATCAAAGTAGTATGTTATAGGCCAATCAGAAGTTAATATAACCTACACATAGCAGACTCACAAATGTGCTCATAAAAATCCAGAGTTCTCTCTTGAATTCTAGAATCAAAAGCAACTCCTACATATTCCAAACTACCCAGTGGCTTAGTATCATAAAATAAAATCCCAAACACTTATAGCGAACAAGATTTTATTCCTGGCCCCAGGCTACCAGGCCCAATATCCTCCTTGTACACTTCCCAGAGTATGAACCTGAAAAGTGCCTGCCAATGCCAGGTCTATGAGGAGCTCTGTGATTTTGAAAAAGTTATTTCGCCTACGGAACTTGATTTCCTGACATAAAAAACAGCATCCTTTTGCAGGATTGAAATGAGAATAATATACTAAGGTACAGAAAACAATGCTGTTAATTCTCTAAGCACAATAAATATAAAACCTCCAGCAGCAACAATGATTGGCCATTGTCCTGCTCACTCAAATCACATGGTCTCACTTCACTTTCTCCTAATGAAATTTCACCCCCAGTCTTCCCCAACCTCTTCCTCCTCCCTTCTCCCTACCTACACTATTTCAAAATCTCTCTTTCTACACACACACACACACACACACACACACACACACTATTTATACATTCTATTTCTAGCTCTCTACTTCTTCACCTTCTGCTTTATTTTCCTTCCTACTACTCACTGCTACCTGACTGTATTACATATTTATTCATTGCTTCTTCCACTAAAATCTGAATGCTTCCGTGGAGGCAGAATGCCTCTCTTTTTAGCTGTTACTCTTTCACAAATAGTACAGTGCCAGATACCCAGAAGATCATATCAACTGTCACTTTCAACAAGTTAAACATTTTCATAAAGTGTCCTTGTATCTGATATGCCTTCTTAATTCAATCCCAATTTTAAAAAAACTCAACCTTAGAAGTCTTTCCTAATCTATAAGCTTGCTACTACCTACTCTTAAATTTCCTGCTGTGTTTTCAGCCCAATGGAAAGATTATTTACCTAGAAAACAGACTTTCTTCTTTGCTTTAAGTTTAAAATGAAGAAGTAATGTGGCTGTGTCCCAAGGTCATATAAGTCTTAGAAACTACAGTTGGACCTCCATATCTATGCGGCTCAAATCCACATATTCAAGCAACAATCAAAAATATTTGGGAGAAATATTTGAAACAGACTAATCAAGTTACACATATCTATAAATATGAGTTGTAAATGCATGTAAATAAAATGTCATTCTCTAAGAAATCAATTATAAAGTGGATAGATTAAAAAATAGAATGCCTTCAACATACAACAGAATAAATAAAAACCAAAAAAATTGCGTCAGAATTTTAAATTCTAAAAAACTAACATTTATTTATTGTGTGTGTGTGGTGCACGCACGTGCATGCATAGATGTGTATCTGTGTATGGGAGTGTTAAGTCCATGTGAAGGTCACAGAATAACCTGTGGGAATTGGTTCTATTAATTAGGTCCTATTTGCTAGCTTGACAAAAAGTACTATTTCACTTTTTCTTATTATATGCTGGAGAAAAGTAGTTTAAATTAGATTTTAATGTAGCATGAAAAACTACTAGCCTATATCATAAACCCAGAATATGATATATTTTAGCTTTTCAGACTGAGCACCTTAATTTTAAGGTATAGCCCCAGGATATAAGCACACTGACTATTTCAAAAGAAATTTAAAAATATATGTTAGTTGATAGTTATGTTAATCAAATACTTTCACATGCATAATTTCACACAGAATACATAGTTTCAATCTATATGTCAGATGTAAATATCAAGATACATAACACCAGAAAGAAAAAAAAAAAAACAAGTTGTTAAAACATGCCCATTTACAAATGTGTTCATCAAGCTCCATATACTTTACTGGACCACTAAGCTCTGAGACCTAATTAAGTGAGAACATGACAATGTAGGCAGGTGTGGTAGTAAACAGCTGGGACCCAACCACTTGTTAGTGACAGAGGTAGAGGATTCTAAGTTCCAAAGACAGCTCTGGGTTACATAGCAAAACTCTGTCAAAAACAAAAACCTTAGACAATCTGCACATGAAAAGTCATGTGTTCCAAATACTAAAACATCTGCCAATTATTATTAAGAACTGAATTTACACAACAATTACAAAATTGTGTTAAATGTAAACTGTGTTAAATCATTCCAGTTTGGGAACACATTCAAATCAGGAAATTATTTCTAAATGTACCTGACACTGCTGAATGAATTAAACAACTGACCAAATAAGTTTGTTCTCTAAAATGTACTGACTTACACACTTTAATATATCAACAAATATTTCATGTAATGTAATGTTTACAATTTATATCAGTGTGATGGTTTGATTGAGATGACCTCCATAATTCTTGGGCACTGTCCCTAGCTGGTGGCTGTAAGATTAGGAGGCATGTCCTTGCTTGGAGGGAGTATGTTGCTGGGGCTGCCTGTGACAAAAGAAGTGTTGTTTCTAGTGAGCTCTTTCAAAGCTTCCAGTTTGGGGTTTGAGATATGAGCTCTCAGTTATCCCAGACTCTATGTTTGCTGTCTCTTGCCATACTGTCTCATCAGTATTTACCCTGAACCTCTGGAGCCGTAAGCCCCAAATAAACTATCCCTTTTATTATGTTGCTTTGGTCATGGTGTTTTATTTATTACAGTAACAGAAAACTATGACAAAATTAAACTATGGGCAAAATTAAAAAGACATCAATCAGCACACACCTCAAATGATGCTATCTGCATCATTTTTCAAAGAACTATGCTATTAGTCAATAGTGAGCTTTTACCAGGTAGAAAAATCTGACTAAAAGTTGTTTTATGATTGTTAAAGACTTATTTATATGACTGGTTGTCTGCATGTATGTATATGCATTATGTACATGCAGTCTTCACAGGAGCAGGAGAGGGTGTTTAAAGCCCTAGAAGCATTGTGAGTCTCCTGTTGTGAGTGCTGAGAAACAAACTCTGCAGGAGCAGCAAGTGCTCTGAACTCCTATTTATTCTATTCAGATTTATTCAAGACTACACCACGAAATAATTCTTTTAACAATTTCCTACAGAAATCTTTCTACCCGTAAGTAATAAAAGTGAAGCTATGTATTCAAACACACGATAAAATGTAAAAACAAGATGAAAATTCAATCTTTAAAAATTAACACTTTTCTTAAAGAGGGTAAGTTGGCACAGAAACTAAAATGTACATAAATTAATAATAACTTTTTAAAAATTAACACGAAAGTCAAGACTGGCAAAACTATGTGTACTTGTGTAGTAACACTATTAATATCACCCATTAACATCAACATTTTTTTTTATCAGCAGGGCAAATGACCAGAACCTGCTGTGGAGGCAGTACCAGAATAAAGGTACTACAGACACCAAGTACTAAAAGAAAACTTACATTAAGTTCATCCAGGTGAAAAGCTGGCATTTGAAAAGCAACACAAGAAGAAACAGGGAAGTAACACTGTCACAAGTGAGAGTAAGATGGAACCAACTGTGATGAGAAGGTTAAGATAAGCAGTGGAAAACTAATGGCTGTGTGTGGTACCTGGGCTTGCAAAAGACCGAGAAAGTCTTAAAAAACAATACAACAGTCTACACAAAACTAAAACCACTTGAAAACTAAAAAAAAAAAAAAAAAAGAAAAAATTACTGTCAGGAGAATGAAAAGACCACCACCAACTAGAACATATTTACAAAGACCTATCCGATAAAAGACTACAATCCAAAGCATACAAGAAAAAAATTTAAACTTAATGAAAAACTAAGTAACCCTATTTTTAAAATAGGCAACAAAAGGTACCTAACTAAAGATATACTGACAACAAATAACTATATGAGAAAATGTTCAACACAATGCCACTAGAGACCTGAAAATTGAGAGAATGTGGTAATACAACATACCTATTAAGGTGACCAAAATAACAGACAAAACCAAATGTTGAAAAGTATGTGTAACAGGGAGCCTCTTATTCATTGCTTACAGGAATGTACACAGTTTTTGTTATTGTTTTGTTTTGATTTTTTTGAGACAGGGTTCTCTGTGTTAATTTGGTAGACCAGACCAGCCTTCAACTCAGCCTGCCTCTGCCTCCAGAGTGCTGGGATTAAATGCATATGCACCACCACCCAACTTGCAAACCAGTTCTTATTAAAAATAAACAAACAGAAACAACAACAAACCTCTTCCCCTTCACTATGAAAATCAACAGACTCTGGCACTAAAAGGAAATATGGGACCAAGGAGACTTTTTAAATGCATCATTCAGGCAAACATTGTCAATGTGAGCAGGCTAGGAAAGGTAAAACTAAGAAATCAGTGACTATTGGGTTGTCGGTTAGTGGAAAGGATGAATAGGCAGAACACAGGAGGACTTTTAGGACAGTCAAAGTACTCAGCAGACGGCAATAGTTACATACATGCCCAAAATTATACCTTTAATGCCACAGAATCAACTCACTAAAGACATATGTAAGCTATGGGTTCTGGGTGGTAATAATGTATCAATTAGTGTAGGTTAACAAACAAACTCTGTAAGGGATATTGGTTGAAGAGAAAGCAATGAGAGCCAGGTCATGGGAAATCATTGTACCACCTTCCATTCCATTTCTGCTAGAAATCTAAAATTTCCCTGGAAAAATCTGAAGACAGAGAACCCAGATAAAAGTAAAATGCCACCTAGGCAATTCTGCTATAAGGCCCTGGTGCAGGCTTAAAGGGCCACACTAGCCTTTCTGGCTTTTACACCACTTCAATACCCCCATTCTTATACTGCTGTAACAATGTTTACATAATTCTGACACCTGATAGTTAAAACACCCTTACTATCTTACATTAACCTTCACTTTAGAAGAAGAGCAATATGTG